AGTGAAAAAATAATGATTAAAAATATTCTTAACGAGTTAAGGATGTAGTGTGAAGATTTATTAATAATATCTTCATTTTTTCTTTTCGAGACTTATTTTTTCTTGCACCATAGGCTCCTCCTTAAAACTTTAATTTTATATTATTATTAAGTCACAACATTATTTTATTTTGATTTCCCCTATTAAAAATAAAATTATTTTAAGTGTGTTTAGTTTGGCTGATTTGATCAATCTAAGTGGATGCTTGTTTTAGAGCTTAAAAGGCAGTTATTAGTTATTGGTTTTAATTAATCAATCAAATAAAATATATATTTTGAATTATAAATTAACAACAATTATTTACCACTGAATATCTACTATAAGTTATTAGTTACATCAAAACAACTAATTTAAACCCCCTTATAAGTTTCATTTTTTTGTCTTAAAATACTTAGTTAAGGTGTTGGAAAATATCAACTTATAGATTGATTATAAATTAATATTAATTTTTTTATCAATTATCAACTAAAAATTATAAACGAGACCTTAATTTTAGATTTGTAAGTAGGTGGATAAGTTCATAAAGCCCCTTTTTTTTTTTTCCCTTTTTATATGTGAGGAAAGAGACGAGGACCTATGGAAATTTTTTTTGATATATTTGATGATGAGTTATAAAAGTGAAAATAATTTTTTTTTATTTTTTAAATCCCTCTCATCTCTGGCTTAAAGTTTAAATCTAAAATTTTCATTTTAAACCAACTAATCTATCCTTCAGGGTCGAACTTTGGAGGATATTGACAATATTTTCTTTTGCCATTTTTTTCATATGGTATTGGGCTGATGTTGAAAAATTGTACAGCCTTATCTTCATTTGTTGGGGTTATTTTTCTGGGTTTGTTTGAGATCATTTATGTTGGGTTTGTGATTTAGTAAACTTTAACGTATTTGGGTTTCAGCCCATGCGCGGGCCTAAATCCATATATTCATAGCCCAAATCAAACTTGCCAATTGTCAAAATGTTTTTTATTTTAATTTCAAACCCCC